TGAAGAAGAAACTGTTCTTGCTGCTACTGTCTGAGTTAATGTGAAAAAAGGCTGTTGTTACTAACCGTAATTCCTGGAGTTGTTGCTTAAAAAACGAAACTAGAAAATAGAAATCACAAATTTGTGAAAGTGGAAATGTTCATTTAAAGAAGCTCACAAAAAGGCATCTTGATTTCCTACGGGACGTGAAACCAGAGCCTATTTCAGTGGAAACAGATTCATCCGAATCATTCTTTTAACTACTTAGATATCAGTAAAAGCTTTATTGATTGACTCAAGCTATTTCAAGAAATTGCAATTCCATCGTGGACATAGACTGATGATGAGTGCTATCAAACTGAAACAAATTTAATACCTTTGTGCTGGATGAAAAAGCAATGATAAGAAGAAAATGATTCCTTTCTTCATTTTCACCATCTCGATTAATCAAATTTGAACTAAAGAAAAGTAATTGACTGCGAATTAAAACATTAAATGCTGCGTTTTTAAAGTTTTCAATTGACTATAGAATTTTAAGCACTAATTAACAATCATTCAAAGTGTACTATTTGGATTAGCCAAATACTAAGCAATTTATGATTCGAGAAATCTCGGTCAAATTCTTTTCTTACTTTCCATGGTAGTGAAATCCTCCCTCCAGAATCGCATAATATTTCTAAGAGGGTTTCATTCTACAAAGGAACCTTCTCCTTATGTAACTTTGAGAAACTATGAAAAAGCATTAAGTTTTTAATTTTTGTTCATAGGAAAGCACTGGAATTATTGCCACACTGAATAATTTGAGTTGTGCTGCAAAATTTAAAGATTTATATGCTATTTGTTTCATTCTGCTTTTGCAGAAATTTCCAGTTGAAATTAGTTGAATTGAATTGAAAGCATTGTGTTCCAAAATTGCATTTCTCATCCAAAACTTGGGGACAACATGCATTGCTTTCAGAATATTCACCATATTATTGTTCTTTCTATTTAAATGGATGAATTTTGTTACAATAAAATAAATTAGAAGAATGGTTTGATATAAAATGATCAAAAGATAAAAGAGTTTTACTTTTGTGAAAAAAATTAGCATCATAAATCCAGAAGTTCCGAAAATTGAAACGAAAAATTAGCACCATAGTTCGATATAGAATGATCACACATAACTGTTTCAACGAATATTCATCTCAACAAACCTGATTAATCGACTAAATAAAACTTCAAGAAACAGAAAATGTTGGAAATTGAGTACCTCATTTCGTACCTAAAAACTAAAAATGCTATGCGATTAAAGTGGGTACTGGTAATAAGGAAATCTCACATGCGAAATTAACTTTACTTAAATATATGAACGACAAAAGTATTACATTTAGAGAGAATATAGAGAATGTTATTTTAATGACAAAAGTAAAAGAGTGATTATTGGTGATCGCTTGAAATATTATTGATACTTTGATCTCATCAAATACTTCTGAAAAATTCCTTTGTTCTACTTATTGTGAAATCGTTCATAGGCTGAATAAACATTCATGTATATCGACTGAATAAACATTCGACGGGGATTTTGATGCTTTGCATGTTTTGCTATTTTCTAACTTTTATATCAATATTTTTATCTATAATATTTAAATTCTAATTAAGTTTTAATTAAAGCTATAAGGCAATTATTTAAACGTATTCTTATTTACCTAAAATTTTTCCTTAGTATTTATATTTCTGTGCCATGGCATATTAGTGGCAAAATAGTCTATGGAATCCATTTATTATCTACTTTTCGTTTTTTCTTTTTACTTTTTTTTTTGTACACCACTAATATAATTCTTGTTTACAACTCAATTCTTGTTTACAACTTTTTTTCTTTTTATCACTGACCTTTATTCCTGGAAAAATTCTTTTTTCCATGCCATTTTACATTTGTTTATTATATTTGTCATTTTGCAAAATCTCTTTTTTATGTTTTTTATAAAGCTCACTTATTTCATGTTTCTTGTTGATTAAATTTTAATTCATTTTAAAACATGTCTCTTCGCTGATGTTCAATTTTTTCTCATGACCCATGTTTCTTATTACTTCTTTCCAAGTGTGACATTTTTATATAACCAAATTTCAAAAAAAAAAAAAAACAAAATTGAACAACGACACTATAACTGCGTACTCCAAAGCACGATTAATGTTAACAAACATAAAATTAGTAAAAATATTATTGATCCTTGCTTCCATTTCCAATTATTTGCAACTACTTGTTGCTACTTGTAAATATTTGTATTTGGAACCACTTGCAACCACAGTAAAAATTTACAGCACCTGCTTATTTACCTTTCCGTATCATTTGTTTTCCTTTCTTTTGGAACCACCTGTTCCTACAACCACTTGTAACCATCTGCTACCGTAACCACTTTTTACTTTAACCACTTGCAACCGCTTTCTACGACCAACTTACGACGACACATCTTTAGTTATAGTATAAACCTTTGAAAGCATTCAGTACTTCTCTCTGTCTTGTCATCAATTCTTCGATTCCAATAATCTCTAGTTTACACTTTTCTTTTTATTAGTTCACTGAGTTATCATGATTCTCTTCATTCTCCCAATCTTTCTTTCGGACTTCGTTATTTTACTGATTGCCATTTTTATCTTGAAAATTCATTCACAGCTTCTTGTCATTGACAGTTGGCCAAAAATATGAAAGGTATAATTATGGTGAAAAGCAGGAAAGGATGCCTTCAATAATAACAACTGATAAAATCATTAATGTTCAAAAATCTCGAAATGAAAGTAAAACTATAAAATGTGCAAAAAAGTTACACAATATAATGAGTCATTCAAAGCAATCATCGATTTTAATTACTACAAAAGTACAATAATTCCACTTATCAATTCTTTATAATAATTATGAGTTTATTTCCATATGAAATCATTTCTCTGCCTAATCCATTTTATCTGTTCATCAAATTTTTACTTTTTAACTATATTTGTAGTTAATTAGAATTAAAATAACTGATAAAATCTTCACTGTCAAGTCATTTATTTTTGCTAATGAAAATTGCTTAAACTTTTTACACTTTTGCTCCATCGGCGATTTAATTTTGTTTATATCTCCATCTGATTTTTTATTTTGGTCATATTTCGTATAATTAAATTTTTTCATTTAAAAGAAAAAAAAAGATGAAAATTGGTAAATTGGAAATAAACGACAACTGATAACAGAATTTAGCAAAGAATAGTCAATGAAAAGTAAACAAATGTCATGCATCGTTATCACTAATTAATTAATTTAAATCAATCCCCATCAAATAATGACTCGGAAACTTATTATTCTTCAGTGCAAAAAGTTACTTTCATTTGGTGGTAACTAATTTGAATCACATTCGAAAAGCAAAATGGAATTCACGCAAACTATAAATAATAACGAAATGGTTGTTTGTTGGATTTATACAAAAATTTTTCATTAGGAAATTTTTAATTATAATCATTTTTCATTTAAACAAACTGAAGAAAACCAAATGATTTATCTGCCGTTTTTTTTTTTTTTATCACTGACCTTTATTCCTGGAAAAATTCTTTTTTCCATGCCATTTTACATTTGTTTATTATATTTGTCATTTTGCAAAATCTCTTTTTTATGTTTTTTATAAAGCTCACTTATTTCTTGTTGATTAAATTTTAATTAATGGAAGTTTTTTTTCTAAATATTACTTCTTCTCACTTTTAAATCCTTTCTTTTTTAATTTTTTTTTTTCAATAAAAGATTAAAAAACTGAAAAGAAGTAATATTTAGAAAAAGCTTCCATGAATTAGGCTTAACAAGAAATAAAAAAAAGAGAGAGGTTTCATAAAACGATAAATGTAATAAGCAAATGTAAAATCGCGTGATAACAGGTTTTTTTTTCAGCAAAAAAATTGCGAAAATGAAGTCAGTGATAAAAAGAATGAAAAGCTGAATTGCTAAACAAGAGAAATATTATCAGTATTCTGTACAAAAACAAAAAAAAAGTAAATTTAACAGAAAATTAGAAATATTATGAATTCTTTTAATTTTATTAAAAGAAATTATAAATTGCGACGTGTTGACATGTTGATTTAGAGGAAATGAAAACAGAATCAGATTTCCCAGAAAAAAAGAAATCATTTATTGTTGATGCTTGGTTGTTTGAGATTATCCATGGTGCTGGAGCATATAATCTAATTGTTGTTTTAAGGTTTGGAGAAGACCTTGCTTGCTTTTCAGAAGTTCTTCAAACATAGACTGTTGTCTCTGGAGAAGTTGCTGAAGTGAAGGCTGCTTCTGCTTTAGTTGTTGGAGAAGTTGTTGTTGCTGTTGCATAAGTTGTTGGAATTCAACTTGTTGTTGCTGAAGTTGTTCAAGGAGATTAGAAATTTGCTGAGGTTCTAGAAGCATTTGTACAACAAGTTGTTTTTGTTGCTCCATAAGCTCCACAAGTTGTTGTTGTTGTTGGAGGAGCTGCTGAATAAGTGGTTGTTGTTGTTGGTATTGTTCAAGAAGTTGTTGTTGTAGCTGTAGAAGTTGTTGAAGAAGAGTTTGTTGTTTTTGAAGTTTCTGATCAGAAGGCGGCTGCAGTAGAAGCTGAAGTAGTTGCAGTAGATGTTGAAATTGTTGGGTAAGTTGTTGTCCCTGTTGTTGAAGTTTTGCAGCTACAACACCGTGTTGCTGAAGCAGTTTAAGACGTTGTTCCTGCTGTTGGATTTGATGTTGATAATTACTTTGTTCTCGATGTCGAGATTGCTCGTGATTTTGTTGCATTTGTTTTTCAAGGTCAAGCGCTTGTTGATGCAAAGTCGATGGCTGCAGTGTTTGTTTTGGAGAAAGCAGTTGCTGCTGCAAAAACTGTTGAAGAATAGGTTGTTGTTCTTGAAGTAATTTTTGTCGATCTGGTAGTTGTTCCAGTAGAGATTGGGCAGTCTGTTGTCGCTGAAGAAGTTTCTGAAGAATAACTTTTTGTTGTTCTTGAAGTTGATTCAGAAATTGTTGTTGTTGCTGAAGTTGTCGAAGGATTATCTGCTGGTTATGAAGAAATTGTTGCTTATTTTCACAGTTGTGCTGCCCAAGTTGCTGACGAAGTTGCTGTTGCTGTTGAAAACGCTGCTCGGAGTGCGAGTGGTTTTGTTGTAGTTGTTCGAGTAGCTGTTGAAGTTGAAGTTGGTGAGGCACAGGGTTTTGTTGTTCCAGGAGTTTTTGAAGAAGAGACTGTTCTTCTATTTGTTGAACAAGTTGCTGCTGCATGAGAAGTAGTTGAGAAGAGGATTTTTTCTTATTTTCGGTTGACAATGCTGTCATTGTTGTTGAAGAAGAAACTGTTCTTGCTGCTACTGTCTGAGTTAATGTGAAAAAGGCTGTTGTTACTACCGTAATTCCTGGAGTTGTTGCCTAAAAAAACGAAACTAGAAAATAGAAATTACAAGATTTGTGAAAGTGGAAATGTTCATTTAAAGAAGCTCACAAAAAGGCATCTTGATTTCCTACAGGACGTGAAACCAGAGCCTATTTCAGTGGAAACAGATTCATCCGAATCATTCTTTTAACTACTTAGATATCAATAAAAGCTTTACTGATTGACTCAAGCTATTTCAAGAAATTGCAATTCCATCGTGGACATAGACTGATAGCGAGTGCTATCAAATTGAAACAAATTTAATACCTTTGTCCTGGATGAAAAAGCAATGATAAGAAGGAAAATGATTCCTTTCTTCATTTTCACCATCTCGATTAATCAAATTTGAACTAAAAGAAAGTAATTGACCGCGAATCAAAACAGTAAATGCTTGCATTTTTAAAGTTTTTAATTGAGTATAGAATTTTAAGCATTATTTAACAATCATTCAAATCAATAATGCAAGTGTACTATTTGGATTAGCCAAGCACCAAGCAGTTTATGATTCGAGAAGTCTCGGTCAAATTCTTTCCCTAATTTCCATGGCAGTGAAATCCTCCCTCTAGAATCGCATAATATTTCTAAAAGGGTTATGTTTTGTAAAAGAACCTTCTCCTTGTGCAACCTTTGAGAAACTAAGAAGAAGCATTAAGTTTTTTAATTTTTGTCCGGTAGAAAAGCCATGGGATTATTGCCACACTGAATAATTTGAGTTGTGCTGCAAAATTTAAAGACATTTATGTGTTACTTGTTTCATTCTGCTTCTACAGAATTTTCCAGTTGAAATGGGTTGTATTGAAAGCATTGTGTTCGAAATTATATTTCTCATCCAAAACTTGGGAACAACATGCATTGCTTTGAGAAAATTCACCGTATTATTGTTCTATCTGTTTAGATAGATGAATTTTGTTACAATAAAATAAATTAAACGATTGGTTTGTTTTCTTATTTTGTTATAATACAAACTTTTCTGATATTGAAAAACGGTTTTTGTCCGTGCTTCCGCCTCTTTCTTTTCTTTAAAGGTATTACCAAAAACGATTAGACTGATCGCTCACCAATTTTGGCACTTCAGTGACCGTTAATTCTGAAATAGTGTTGCACATACACATTACATTAGCATTACATAGGTGTTTGCATACTTGCATGCAGTTGAATATTTAAAATTTATTACGGACAGTTGGGATTTATCAAACTGTGCGTAAGTCACTAATAATTTGGAAATGAAATGGGCGATGTGCTCTACACAAATTGAAAATTTGAAAAAAAAAAATTATTTGTTTCTTTGAGAAGCTTCAGCCATCAGTTCCGATCAGTGATGAAATAAACTTTTTCCTTTCTTAATGTACTGTCATTTGAAACATCTTTTTCCGTTTCATTTGCTGCAATGACCGATGCTTACTACTTGCTCTCCTTTCTTCCTACGCTTTCTAGAAAGTTCAGTGATAGTTTGCTTTGTTCCCAGAAGTGCATAATAGCTTATGGAAATTGAGTAATTAACCTCTGCTTTCAGATTTCACATGGAATTCCATCAAGCCTAGATGTTTTGGCTGTTATATGAATTTGCGAGTTGCTTGCAAATTTTTTTTCACCGATTATTGTATGTTATCTTTAATTAATAGGTCGGTCTTCAATTGGACTGAAGAGAAATTGAAAGTGTCCAGCTATCAGTTCAGAATGAAAATGAAAGTAAGTTTGATTATATGCGTTGAGTGGATGTTTTGTACCTTACTTGTCGTGAAATGGGGTCTGATTTGAGTAATTTATAGAACCAAATAGGGAGTACTTTGTGAAGTAGCAATGTTTAACAGTAATCTTAATTTTATTGAGATAAAATTATCCTAATCGAAATTATTATTAGAAAAATTGAGGAAGTACATCTGAAGGAGAGGAGAGAGTGTACAACTTCCGAAGTGAGATCGAGAAAAGCTACCTACATTCCTCTATTTAACTTGTAGAGTAGGAGTGGTTTATAACAAAGCACATGATTACCGTATGTAAAGAGCTTCCGTTCCGGATAATCTTTACTCTCTCATTACATCAATTACTCATAAGACTGAATGTCAAAATAGCAGACTGTTACAATTTTTAGATGTTAAAAGTTAAGTCTAAGTTTGGCTGTTTGGTTGGAAATTTTTGGTATTAAAATTGGGAGCAATTTTCAACATCTTTGTGAATACAGTAGAATTCCAAACAATTTAGATGAGTAAGAATTCCTTAACTGAAACATTTATCTAAGAATTATTCAAATAAGACAATCTTTAGTCTTATGAATTCACTACAAATTTATTTCGACATATTCGATTCTTTCTTCAGGTAGTTATTCTATGCATTTCAGAACTCCCTAGAGCCTTCTGCAATTAGAATTCATGTTAGAATATTACTGACTCATCATCTGTTCTTGATGTTCCGAAATTTCTATGAAGCTTGCAGTATGTAAGGTTGCTTTTCTTGCAAGACGGGTAGGTGAGCAAGGAGTTCAGAGTACCTGGACTTCTAGGTCCTTTGAATTCCTTTGATGAGCACTCTAGGCATTTTATGGAGAAGTATAGGATGCTATTTTTAATTTGCAGGCTTGGGCCATAGCTGCGAAATATTGAGGTAGTAGGTCGGTCTGTTAGATGAAAAACTGTAAAGAGTTAAATGAATTTTATCTGCCCGGATCCGAAGTTGGCTGCCCGAGGTTAGTCCGTTCTACTCATCGACACACTTCGACTTTCGATTCTTTAGTTGAAGACTATCTGGCGTGGAGTGATACACAAGGAGGAGTCCAATGAGGATATATATATTTGATAATTTTTTCCTTTGCAACAATATTTAAAACAATACAAAACAAAAATATTGGATAATTTTATTCATATTAAATTGTTAATAGTAGCATAGCAGCAATTTTTAATTGACAAATATCAATTTACCATTTTGATTTGCATACAAGAAAACATTCTTCAGCAGCACTGTTATGATATTTCCGCATTTCATCCAATATTTTGATAAGCTCTATGCGATGCTTTTCTTTTTTAGATTGAATTGTACCTAAAGCTTCAAAAACCTGCAACAATTTAAAGTTATTATTTAATAGTAATTTCCATGAGATTATTTTAAATGATAGTAAAATAACTAAATTTGAAATTTGTTACGCATGAAAGGAAGGGTTATTAATATGTCATCCATTTGATCTAATAATATTTAAATAATAGTAATAATCATACTCCTTATACTTTGCCTTAATTAAATTTCAATTTAAATGTGAAATATTTGTTTATTTAATTTTATTTCAATAAAAATATTTAAATTCCATTTCTCTAACCTCATCTGATTGTTCCTTAAATTTTGCAATTGCTTTATTGCAACTTTCTTTTTTTTGTTCCGTTGGATTATTCGCATATTCATGTTTTGCAAAATCCATTTCTTGTCGACGTTTAATGAGTTCTTGACGTTGATTATTTAATACTAAGATCATTATAATTTAATAATTACTATTTACGCAAAATATTTTAACAATTTTTTTTCTTCCTTATCAATTATTATTATTTTTTTTTTTTTGCTTAGGTATCAATAATATAACATTCATTTAATAATTAGCAACTATTTTTCTCTACACAAATTATTCACTAAATAATTATTAATCATTTATGTCGTTCAATTTTTCATTGATATTTTTTCGTTTAACCTAACCGTATTTCTTGGTTTAAAATTTTTGCTTAATTAATTATTCTCATCCATTTATTGTTTTCCAATAATTTTCATTTATTTACCATATGTATTTGTTGTTAACATCCAGAAATTATTTATTACTTATGCAATAACTTTAATTATTCTATTTCAACATTACTAATATGACAATTAACTTATTACAGATGACTTGAATGTTAATAATTCCATCATTTGTTACTCAACCCTTTCTTTATAGTTATAATATAATGTCATATTAGAATAATTATAAATCAATGATTGATATAGTAATTAAAAATCAATTATTGGTAATGAATAATAATCTTTATTATTATTATTCATCATTCATCAATATTATTCACTATTAATCGTGATTTCATTTTTCAGTAGAATATTATGATAAATGATTATAATTAGCATATAATTATTAAACTTATAATTAGCAAATATAAGAAACGCATATCTTACACACATAATCAACATTAATAAATGTTCGAATAAAATGAATAGCTCGACGTCCTCGTTTGCAGTAAGATCGACGTAACTCGGCTAATTTTATGCATGCACGAATGCATGCCTGAAATTATAATTAAACTTGCAAAAGTTCAAAACAAATGCCAAAAATTGTAGAAAAAAGCAAAATGCAAAATAGATTATTATTATTATTATTATTATTGAAATATCTTTTTCTCTCTGTTCTAATTGAAGAACTACTAACGAGCAGTAAATAGCATTAAGTTTAAAATTAAAGCTCAATTAGTTATGAACACTTATGCTATATTGATTTCCTTTTTGTCGTATTTTTAAAATTTTCTTTGCTGAATTTATAAATTATTTTTTTGTAACTATACGAAAAATATTTTTGATTTTCACTAAATTATTAAGTTATCAAAAGTGCATCTAGCATATGTAATGATAAATAAACTTTAGTGGCATAATTAAGTTTAAAATTTTTGACATATCTAATAATTAATAATGGTAATTATAATTATATATGATTCTGTTAATTATTTTAGATTATAGAAACCTCAAGTGCTGGAATATGAGCTGAAAAATTTTCTCTCATTGCTTCTAGTGAAACGCTTAATAATTCCGTAGGATCTTGATTTAATGGACATTCAAATTCCATTTTTGATTCTGCTTCAGGTACTAATTTCGGATTTTGTTGCAACACATGCATAATGCTTTCTGCTAATTTGCATAACATTTCCTTAATTAATAATACTATATTTTAGCCTAAATCTGCGCTTTTTTTTTTTTTTTTTTTTGTTTTTTAACGAAAATATATTTTCGAATTTAGCTAAGCTAAAATAATTATGTAGATATTGATTAATTATGATAAGAATTAATTTTTATATGGATAAATGGAAAAACCATTCAAAATTGCTTAAATTAGCATACACTTATCTAATATTAAGTTACTAAGCAAAATAAAAAAAAATATTTTCAAATTTTTTTGAAAAAAAAATGAAAAGTTCGATGAGCATTCTTTGAATTAGTCATTCGTAATTGATACATTATGGTAATTAGTAAGTACATCATTTTATGTTATATGAATCAGATAAAGTTATTGCTGAAAGTTTTTTTACCTTATAAGTGTCTGCATCTTTCACTTGATTCAAATAATCCGGATTAAGCTCAGAAGTCTTAATAGTACCAACTTTTTCGCCTAATTTCATAAATAGCTTCCGGAATGCACCTCGTCCTTCTGGTTCCGTTTGTGGTGAAGCCATTTCCATTGGTTCTTGAATTTTATTTGTATCCTTATCTGATTGTTTCTTATTTTGGTCATATTTCTTAGTTTCGCTAAAATTAAGTTTTTCATTCAAATAAATAAATAAATAAATAAATAAAAATTGATAAATTACTAATTTATAAACGATATCAAAATTGGAATTTATCAAAGAATATTTAACAAAAATTTAACGAAAATCATGCAACGTTTATCATAGATTAATTAATTTGAATCAATTTACACCAAATAATGACTCGGAAACCATATCATTCTTCATTTAATTTTAGTAAAAAAGTTACTTCCATTTGATAAAAATTCAAATCATTTGATAATTCAAATCAATTATCATTGACCTTCTTTTTGCTGCCATTCCGAAAGCAACCGAATCGTTTGATGAATTTACGCAAAGTATAAATAATGATAATAACGGTTGTTTAGTTGTATTTATAGTAAAAATTATTTTAACCAAAAAAAAAAATTTTATAAAGAAATTTTTAAATGGAATCATTTTTCATTTAAACAAACAAAACGGTTTATCTAGTGTTTTTATTACATTCTGATGAACTAATCATTAATTTCTGTTTACTTTATCATTAAAGCTTAAGCAATCACCAACTAATCAGTGTCACAAATAATTCCTTAGAATTTCTCTTAAAAAGTAGCCTGGATAATGAGATAAATGTTAGGTGTTAAGAGATAAACCGCATGAGCATTAAAGCAATTTTAATAAAAAGAAGAAATAAGAGTTTGTATTTAGTATGCTGAAATATGTTAATTCGAATTTCAAATACTTATTTCGACTTTATAAACTTTAGTTCAAAAAATGGCTTAATGGATTGGTTTAACAAATTATATGAAAGTTACAATAATAAACCGAAAAGATTGTTTCGAGTAGCAGTACACTGAGGAAAATTTTATTTATTTTATCTACTGATCAAAATTGATGGCAAAATTTTGGAATTTTCTTAAGTCCTTTGCCCACTTCATTTTTAAATCATTAGTGATCCAAATCACAATTTAACAAATTCCAACAATATTGTCAAATATTCAAGTCCTTGTAAATTATTAGTATTTTTGCAAATATCTAATTTAATAATCAGGAAAAAAAAACTGTAGTGATGTTAGCATTTAATTCACACTGCACTTTCATTCAAAATTAGCATCCACCTTCAATAATCGAACATAACCGATTACTATTGTTGAAATGCTCAGACTGGTAAGCAACTTGTATAATTAGTTTTTTTTTTTTTTTGGTAATGTCTTTCTTTAGAGAAAAGAAAGGAGCAAAAGTTTTGAATAAAGACAAAAAGCTGTTTTTTTAATATCAGCAAAGTTTCTATTATACAATCAGTATGCTTATTTTAATTTTACAAAATAAGAAAACAACCCATTCTTTTAATTTATTTTATTGTGACAAATTCATTCATTTAAATAGAAAGAACAATAATATGGTGAATTTTCTGAAAGCAATGCATGTTGTCCCCAAGTTTTGGATAAAAATACAATTTCGGAACACAATGCTTTCAATTCAATTCAATTCAACCCATTTCAACTGGAAAATTCTGTAGAAGCAGAATTAAAAAAGTAACACATAAATGTCTTTAAATTTTGCAGCACAACTCAAATTATTCAGGCTACAATTCCAGGGCTTTCCTATGGGCAAAAATTAGAAAACTTAATGCTTCTTCAAAGGTTGCATAAGGAGAAGGTTCTTTTGTAGAATGAAACCCTTTTAGAAATATTATGCGATTCTGGAGGGAGGATTTCACTGCCATGGAAAGTAAGAAAAGAATTTGACCGAGATTTCTCGAATCATAAATTGCTTGGTGCTTGGCTAATCCAAGTAGTATACTAGTATGTTGATTTGAATGATTGTTAATTAGTGCTTAAAATTCTATACTCAATTAAAAACTTTAAAAATGCAAGCATTTACTATTTTGATTCGCAGTCAATTACTTTCTTTTAGTTCAAATTTGATTAATCGAGATGGTGAAAATGAAGAAAGGAATCATTTTCCTTCTTATCATTGCTTTTTCATCTTGTACAAAGGTATTAAATTTGTTTCAATTTTTTGAAAAACAATCTGAAATAGGCTCTGGTTTCACGTTCCGTAGGAAATCAAACTGCCTTTTTGTGAGCTTCTTTAAATGAACATTTTCATTATCACAAATTTTGTAATTTTTATTTTCCAGTTTCGTTTTTTTAGGCAACAACTCCGGAATTACGGTAGTAACAACAGTTTTTCACATTAACTCAGACAATAACAACAAGAACAGTTTCTTCTTCAGCAGTAACGACTGCACTGCCCATCCAACATAGCAAAAAATCTCTTCCTCAACTACTTCTCATACAACAGCAACTTGTCCAACAGACAGAAAACGAGCAATCTTTTCTCTACCTTCTGGAACAACAAGATCCTGTGCCTCACCAACTTCAACAACAACAACAACTTCAAGAACTACAACATAAGCAGCCGCACCTTCAGCATCTTCTCCAACAACAACAACAACTTCTTCAGCAACTTATACAACACCAACATAAGCATAACTGTAAACAACAAATACAAAGTCTTCTTCAACAACAGCATAGTATCCTTCAACAACTTCAGCATCATCAACCATTTCTGAATCAACTTCAGCACCAACAACGTGTCATTCTTCAGCAACTTCTTCAGCGACAAAAATTGTCCAATATCTACTGCATCAATTGCCTCATCAACAACAATTATTTCAAAAACAACAACCTATTCTTCAACAATTTTTCCAGCAACAATTGCTTTCTGTCCAGCAAATGCTTACTGTTCAACAACAAATGCAACAAAATCTCCAGCAGTTGAACATCATAATCATCATGATCATCAAATTCAACAGCAACAACAACTTATTCAACTGCTTCAACAACACCAAACTGTATTAAAGCAACTTCAACAACAGAAACAATTACTTCTTCAGCAGCTTCAACATCAAGTGCAAATACTTCAGCGACTGCAACAGCAACAACCTTTTGATCAGAAACTTCAAAAACAACAATCTCTTCTTCAACAACTTCTACAGCTACAACAGCTCCTTCTTCAGCAATTCCAACAACAACAACCACTTATTCAGCAGCTCCTCCAACAACAACAACTTCTTGTGCAGCTTGTACAACAACAACAGCAACTGCTTCTACAAATGCTCCAGCAACCTC